GATTATCACTTGCATATTTTGTGTTTCCAAGGAGCTGTTAAATCCTGGACAGGAGGACAGTACTGTATGCTCTTGCAATTAGAGATGTTTAGAGAGTATCAAGACTTAGTAGGGCTTCTTCTTAAAAGTGTAGCAAGGTAGGAGGATAGGTTATAAAGCCTTTCCAAAGAGTCACAAATAAAAACTCTCCAAGATTTATTCGAGCATATGCAATGCCTGTGATCCATTAATTTCAGTAATTTTAATGCCTGTAGTTTCTTGCAATGACAAATGCCAATATATTGGTTTACTTATTGACCTAAACTGTCAGATCAGCAGTGTCATTCAAATGTGTCTGTTGTATTTATTTTCTTGACAGCCTGCACCAGCTATGAAGAGCAATTAGGGATTATTTAGTGTGTATCTCATGTTACACTTGTCTGATTACAGTATTTATCTTCCAGTGGGAAGTGAGACTTTGTCAAAAAAGAGCATTTCCTAGGAAACAACTATTTCCCTATGCTGCAGAGGAACGTATCAAACTAGCGTGGAAAAATTTAGCTAGTGGGCTGGGCATTTTTCAAGTGTGAAGAGTGGAGATCAATTTTTTGATCCAATTTGGTAGGACTGCACTTTTCATATTGCTCCTCTTGAATGTGGGAGGAGAGGAAATACCACATGTAGGAATATGTCTTTTCATCTGGACAGTTCTAGGTTATCCTTGTTGCCCTAATCCAGTTCACCTGGCTGGGGACTCATGTGATACCCCGGTGGAACCTTGCCACAGATGACTTCTAAAGGCTCCACAGTGATGCAGAAGATAGGATGTTCCACTTGCTTTCAGGTTTCAGTCTTGGAGGCTTCAGAAGACAGAGAAGACTCTTCTTACCATATGCTTTGGTTCAAATAGTTAATCAGTTTCTGTTCTAAAAAATATATTAATGTTTTTTTCTTAATTTTGTGCCTCTCACAGCTATTTTAAAGATGTATAGTCTTCTTCATCACACCTTCTGCCGTGATGCCACAGATGGATTTGTCATACAAGACTGGACTATTGGAATAATTGATTAAAGGATGGTTTCTTGAACACCTAAATAATGCTTTAGTTCTTCTCAGTGGTTTTGGATTGGTTTGGTTTTTTTGGGCTTTTTAAATTATTCTACTACCCCACTTTTTGACCACCATGATCATGAGAGTTCTGGCTATGCTCTGATGCTGGATACATTATCTATAAATAACAACTAGCAGGACTGAAAGTTTAATAATGAGTTTTCTTTGAACTTGAGCATAGACCTGTCTGTGAATGGGCTTGATGCCTGATTACGTCTCTGAAATAAAAACAGCGTTGCTGTTAGGGCAGGCTGGCCAGGGAGTAGGGCTGAGTCCATTTTCAGAATATGTAGGAGAAAGGTGTGTGGCCTTGCTGCACATCACTGCTTTGATTTCAGGCACCCAGAGAGGTGCAGGGCTATTAGTGGGGTGAAGGGCTGGCTGTGTATAAGAAGGTTTGGACAGTGCAGTCTGGGGGGAGCCATGCATTCATGATGCCTCTATGTTTAGAGAAAATGCTTTTGAGGGTGCTGAGCTTCCTTAATGTGAGATTGCTTGTGAGCCTTGCTGGTCTTATCTTCTACTGCTTCCTAGTAGTATATTGGTTGCTGCTTGTCCATTCTGACCTGGTTGCTTTTCCAGCCTCTGTGAGCTTCAAACTGCTTTAATGCAAGAGTTTTTGATGGCAGTGGAACCGATCAGCTTGCAGCTTTGAATAGGAAAGGATGTAGCTGTGGGCTGCTAACCCAGAATACATGCAGGAGACCCATTACACCTCTCCTTCTCCGTGACTTCAGTTCTTTGAGTTCATGGTCTTTGTTTTGATCAATTATCTCAACTGTCTCCCCAGTGCCTTCCAAAGCAGCAGAATATTGTGCCGGGTTGAGTGTGTAGATTAGGTGGGATTCAGTTGTCTGAAATCCCTAAGTTATCTGTGTGACCTTTCCTGGATATAACTCTTGGTATAACAGCTACTACTTAGTTGATTTTAATATTTAAATTAAATATGCAATAAAAAACTGTTGCTCCTTAGTTGAGACTTGAATAAATTGATACATAGAAAAACTTCTAGGAGCAACTGAAAGGAAATTTTAACTTAAATCAACTTGCTGTTGTAGTTTTTTAAATACCTACTTAATAGAAACATTAAAAAGTATGATGGTGTTACATCTCTTTTTAAATCTTCTGATTTATTGTCTTTTTAGCTAGATTTAAGAACCTTAAAGGGTAGTAGTATTTTGTGTTTAAATATTGATACCTGATAATTTGGAAGTACTGTAGTAAAATTGCATACAGAAAAGTATCATTTTTGCTTAAAACTTTAACTGTTTAAGAGACATGATTTTAAAATGGCCTTAATTTCTGAGATTTGAGAGTAGTTTAGTTTCTAAAATGAAAATATTTTAGTTACCTATTGAAATCTTCATTTTCCTGAAGTGTTAGAGGGATAGTGGCAGTTACTCACTGATAGAGTTTTAACTCTTGACCTTCTTAGGAGGGATGTTCAGTCATAATGTGTTACTCAGATGCTTTGAAGTTGTTTTTAGATTACCACTTAACTGTTTTCAGTCAAATCAGGTTGATTAAATGTTTTGGTCAAGAAGTTTCTCTGGTTATACATGTGCTTACTGTTTAGTACAGTAGTAAAGTCTTAATTACATGTATAATTTGCAAATAAATCTCTGTTCAATATTAGCATAATAAACTAATATTAAGCTTCTATTTACACTAGTATCAGCCCTTGTAAGTGCAGAACTATTGGTAGAGTATGAATTAAGGTTGAATTAAGCCCACCTCACCAGAAGATTACCATAACAGTTTGGAAACATGCTGATATCTGGATTATACTGCTAGTGAGTTCAGTGGGAAAAAATCTTTTGGCTTACAGGAGGCTGAGTTAGGAAGAAAATCTGTTGTTCCAAAACCACTGTTAACTTGTATGTGGGCAAAAGAATTGTAATGCTTCTAGAATGGGGTTGTAATTCTTTATTCTATAGCAAGTCTGATTTGTTGATACACTGTTAAATGTCTGAAATGTTCTCCTCACTTTTTCTGTATTTTTTCCTCTGATACAGATTGATTGAGCCAAATATGCATTGAAATTTGGACATAATCACAACAGGCTGTTTTTCAGGCCACTCTGAAGGATACTAGACCTTGGTGGGAGCAGTTCAGCTGTTCTGAAAATCTGTCTCAAGGGTGCGGGGCTAAAGAGCACTTTGAAAATGTAGACCATGAAGAATTGAATTCTGTAATAGTAATATCAACTTTCTGGATAATTGCTGTAGTTATAGATAAAATATTTGGGATTCTTGGCAGACTTTCTAGTAAGGAAAGCAACAGAATTACTTTCAGCAGTGTGCTAATGGCAAATCAGACTGAAAAATGTTTGAAGGGAAAAATATGCAAATAGGGCATTCCACTAAAAACATGCACAAAAGTTGAAAAATTCAGAAGAAAACATGTATATGGCACAAGCTGATTAGAAGAAGGAAAGGGAATAAATTATTCTTTTCTCCAGACAATTTGTATTAAAGTTTAAGTAATGTTGTGTCAGTGTATATTTCTCATTTCCATCCTGTGTTGCTATCTCATCTTACTTTATATCTGTGCTTTGCATTTTAAAAGTATTTAGTGTCTGTTTATGCAACAAAACCACTGCAAACACAACGATTGTGGCAGAGGCTTTCAGCAGGAGTAGCTACACCCGTGGTCTGAGCAGTACAAGCTCAGCCAGTGGAACATCACCTACATCCAGATTTCAGCCTCACAGAACTAGCAGCAAGGGCCAGAATAGTTGTATCTTTGATTGCTTTTATAAACACTTAAGTAGCATGTTATCGCTTTGTGGTATAGATCTGACATTTGCAAAGTGTCACTTGCATACTTATTGCCTACTTTACTTTATTCTTACCTTCAAAATGTGTAGTGTTTGTACAGCATCCCCATGACTCTTCTTGCCAATCTTGATAACAGACCACAGAGCTGAAGTTACCTGAGTGGCAAAAGGATTGAAGTGACAACTTCAATCACAGCTGGAAATATACAAGTCTCTTTTTTAAATGTTCTAATATAATATGTTCTTAATAGTAGAATAAGAAAATGTTTCAATGAAATCACATTTGATCTTGTTATTTACCAAAAACAAGGAAATAAGCTGTATCCTTAAAATGTTTTTTTCAGGTGTGTTTAATTCATTCATTCTCAGAGGATATTTAAGTTGTAGAAAGTCTTAGCATCTTGATTTATTTTTCAAAGCGTTGAAGACAAAATGTTGATAAGGCACAACCATTCTCTTGCTATTTTAAGAAGCATTTGAAAGATCAGCCTTCATGTAAATCTACATCCATTCATCAACTCCAGCTTATTTTATTTGTAGATCTTCAGATATGGGCATAACATGTGAAACTCGTTCTGACTGCTGCTGCTTTTTTCTCCCCAACCCTCCTACCTCCCCCAGTCGTGGACCCGTTTAGTTGAGGACATTCCTGGGTTGTACAGCTTTTGCCTTTTCTTGTTTGGTTGGTTTTGTTTGTTGGGTTTTTCTTTTTTTTAATGAGGGGTTGGGGGATTGGTTTGGGTTTAGTTTGGTTTGGGGATTTTTTTGTTTTTTGGAAGGGGGAGAGTTGGGGTTTTTATTCTTTTTTTTGAGGACATGGTGGGTTCTTTGGTCTCTGTTTAAGAAGAGATGATATTATATCAATCTCACCAAAATACATAGTTTCCTTGGAAGAAATGGGATTTTTGTGTAGATTCAGGCAGCTGAATGATGCAGCTAAAGGGTTTAAGTGGAGCTGTAGCTGCCCTTGCTTGCTATTTCTATTTGCATGTTGAAAACACTTACTACTTAGCTTTGTTTGGGGATTTTTTTTGTGTTTAAATGCTACTTTAAAGTAAAATTTTAACAGTCAGATCCTGTATTTGTCTCTTGTTTTCTCCCTCTTAAACGTCTCTTCTAAATCTGTTTGCAGCTGGGTCTCGGGCATCTTACAGCAGCCAGCACAGCCACCTTGGCTCGGAGTTAAGGGCACTGCAGTCTCCAGAGCACCACATAGATCCTATTTACGAAGACAGAGTTTATCAGAAGCCCCCTATGAGGAGTCTCAGCCAGAGTCAGGGGGACCCTCTGCAACCAGCACACACAGGCACATATCGCACTAGTACAGGTAGGTGGATGTAAGCTGCATGATTGTCTTTCTATGAGATATGTAACTTACTCTCTGCTACTAACTCTTCTTCTCTTCCTGATGTGCTTAACCAAATGTATTCTGTGCATGCCAGTCAAATAAAATACCTTTTGCAGATGGCAGCTACCAATAGAACCCCAGATACATGCACAAAAGGGAGAAATACTTAATGTTGTGCTACATGTACAGTAGGTTAAGCTAATTTGGGGAGGGAGCTTACTCATAAACAGAGAGAAAATACTTCTGTTAATCTAGTGTATTGTCTTGGAGAAAGATCTGGTGTCTCTGAAGAAATTGCTAGGATTTTTTTTTTGTTTCCAAAGCTATTTTTTGTGTTGCAAATGGACTGCAAAGTTCCTGCCACATAAAGCTAAGTGATTGTTCACTTGCTTTCAAAGTAAATCATAAGTACATTTTCTTCCTCTGTCCCATAGAGCTATGCTTTGGTGTGGGTACACAGACATAAAATTGAACAATAACATAGGGAAAAGCTGTTAGCATCACTGGTTTATCCATAAATAATTATGATTGTCCCTGAACTGCATTGGTGTACAAGTCCTACTTGCAGAATGTCCTCTCAACCAAATGAAATACAGCTGTATGTTGGAACCCACAAATAGATCAAAAATCAACAGGGATATTTATGGTATTTAATGCACAAAATAATTAGAGTATATAAATGCTACAGCCAAAATAGCCTAAAGCAGATGTAGAAGAAACTTGCCTTAGGAATTGTAAGTATTTCTGGTGTTTCATCTTTGCTGTGTTGATCAAAGAGGGAAGATTATGTCCATTTTCAGATCCCTCCTATTTTCATCAAGGAAAAGTTAAGTGCACTTTTCAGAGCAAGATACTTCACTTTCTTTTAAAACTATTTTTTTAAACTTCTTTAAAAAACCCATTTCTCCAAGGGAAAAGCTGGCAGTTTTTGCATGTCCTACTGCCTTCTGCAAGTTTGGGTGTTCAGAGTACCAGAGGAAATCTTAAAAAGGAAATTTGGCCAGAGAATTATCTAGAAAAATACCAGTAACAGCTTTATGCTTTTTGAAGAGCACCATTGCACCTTTTCCCTTCTGTTAAAGAAACTATCACAGTCTCAAGTTTTGTATAGAATCACACATGGATATGAGGAAAAATTACTATTCTTTGCATGAAAGGGAGAAAAACCTTGCTTGTATCAGTGAGTTGTGGAGGCAGTGGTAGTGATTGAAACTACTGTTTCTGTTGAACTTTAAGCCTTCTGTTCCACCTGTGGCTGCCTCATATTGGCTATATGATGCTCTTTTCTCAGACATGCCCTGAAGAGGGTTTCTTGTTCTGCTTGCAAATTATCCCTTTGGTTGTCTGTCTGAAGTAGCAGGCTGTCTTGTGACTGTACTGCTCACAGCACCTCAGTAAGGAAGGAAACCTAGTCAACACAGATAACAATTACAGTGAATTAAACTGGGGCACAGGATGTTAGTTGGTTACATATGGAGATGGGTTTTCAAAAGGAAAGAGAAAAAATTTAAAAAAGCAGAAACATCCCCTGTGAAGATGAGTTTTGTTTTGCCACTTGGGATGTGGATTTGAATGTTGCTGCAGGCTCCCTCTGAAGAAAGACCCCATCAGTCCAGCTTTGTGTTGGGTTGATCCTCCCATGCCTTCCACCCTGCACCTCTATCATCAGGGTCAGGGGAAATGCGAGCAGATGGATGTGTGCCAGTCCAATCACTCTGTTGCTCTGTTGGTAGCTGTCAGCTTTTCACACAGCCAGGCTGAAGAGCTGTCTGTGCTCAGAGGGAATTTTGATCTGGATTGGATCAGCTCTCAGACTCCTGCCTCTAGCACAAATACCAACAGGAACATATCCTTTCTGATGGAGACCATACAATTTTTTTCAAATTAACAGAAAGGAGGGAAAGGAGTTCAAGTTTGCACATATTTTTTTTTTCTTTATTGGGTTTTCATAAGTATTGATTTTTCTTTTTTTAAAATTTTTTTTATTATATTTTAGGACTAGATTGCTATTTGGTGTAAGATATGGGGGGGGGGGTAGATTACTGTGTACTCCGTGAAGATACGTGCCAAGGATTCATGGCCTGTATATTCTGTGTACATGAGTCATGGCAGAGTGGGGAGCTTTAAAACTTCAGAGCGCTCCTTCGTACACCATAGTTCACACCCTTTGTGTATGACAAAAATAGCTTTAATCATGGTGATGATGATGCATGCTTTTCCACATCTGAAGAAAAAAAAGGGAAGACAAAGATGTTGTCCAAAGGATTTTTATCTGCAGCTGACACTGCTCATTGAAAATAAAAATTAAGTTAGTTTTACTTGCAAGCCATTTAATTTTTTTTTTAGTAGGGTTTCTTTTTGGTTGATTTTGGTTTGGATTTTTTTTAGTTTTGTTGTACTTTGTGGGGTTTGAGGGGATTTTTATGGGGTTTTTCTTTGGTTTGTTTGTTTGCTTTTAAAGAACATTATTCCTGAATTTGAAAATTTCACTTACTTTGGAAAAGTAACCAAGAATGGTTACTTACTATAGACATCACCTCTTTCTATTTTATGAGCCCTTAAATATGTATTACATTCAAGAATGTTTACACAACTGAGGATAAAGAGTTTTTAAACCCTCTCAAGAGTTTTTCATCTTCTAGGTGAATGAACATTCAGTAAGCAAAATACAATAAGCTAAAATTTCTCTGTTGCGTGAACTAAATTAAGTTTGTTCTATATAATCATTGTTTTTTAGGTGATGTTTAGGTTCTTAACTTTAGTATTTTCTTTGTATTTCACTTGAGAATGAAATGCATGATGATAGTTCTGCACTACATACTGCAGAAGGTACAAAACAAGTCTGAACATCTCCCCTAATACCTTTAGAGATGATGAATTCTTCAAAGAATCACTGAATGGTTTGTGCAGAAAGGGACCTTAAAGATCATCACATTCTGTCTTCCCTGGCACTGGCAGGAAACCTTTCACTAGACCAAGTTGCTCAGAGTCCCATCCAGCCTGGTCTTGAGGATTTCCAGGGATGGGGAGTCCACAGCTTCTGTGGGCAACCTGTTCCAGTGCTTCACCACCCTCAGCATAAAGAATTTCTTCCTCATATCTTATCTAAACCTATCCTCCTTTAGTTTAAGTCGATTCCCCCTTGTCCTGTCACTTAGTGCTCTTGTGAAACGTCACTCTCCAGCTCTTGTAGGGCCTTTTCAGGTACTGAAGGGGGCTCTAAGGTCTTCCTGGAGCCTTCTCTAGGCTGAGCAGCCACAACTCTCTCAGGCTGTCTTTGCAGGAGAGGTGCTCCAGCCCTCTGAGCATCTTGGTGGCCTCCTCTGGGCTTGCTCCAGCAGTTCCCTGTCCTTCTGTGCAATGGACCCTGGAGCTGGATGCAGCACTGCAGATAGAGTCTCAGCAGAGTAGAGGGGCAGAATCCCCTCCCTGGCCCTCCTGGCCATGGTGCTTTGGATGCAGCCCAGGACACGGTTGGATTTCTGGACTGCAAGCACAAATTGCCAGGTCATGTTGAGCTTTTCATCCATAAACACTCCCAGGTCTGTCTCCCCAGGTCTAGTCTTGTTCCATTCTCCAGCCAGCCTGTACCTGTGGTGTAAATTATAACTGGGTGTGTTACTGTCATGCTGTCTAAGCTAAAAATAATGTTTCAAATTTGACAGCAGTAGCTGTAAAAGCTCTTTTGGTTGTTAAGCTTTTACTTAACAATCCCTTTTGCTCTTCAAAGGGTAATGCCTTCTCTCATATAAAAAGTACCAGCCCAGACTTTTGCACTAAAAGCAATAAGTGTGAAATTTTCCTTTTGAAATGGGAAGCCTCAAAGGATGTGCTTGGAGGGAGCACTCAGACACAATACAAAAAGCAAATTAATTTATTTACTGTATAGCAACTTACAGCTTGTATTTGTAACTCAACTAAATAACACTAATAATTTTTGTTCAGGCAGGTTTGTTACTGATTTTCCTCATAAACCTAAAGGTTTTGAATTATTCATATAGGAGAGCTAAGCTTTTTTGATGGGATGTTTACATGAACACTGATGGAATTTGAAGAGGGCTGTTAATTAAGAGGGAGGAAGGGTTGCCTTTCAGCCAGAGCGGCACATGGAATCAATGATTGTTTGCTTATTTGCAGAATTAGAATTTTGAACTAGAGGTTTAGTCTATAGTTATTGACATTTAATCCTTGTCAAACATGAAACCAGGCAAAACAGGCAAAATCACACTATTTTGCAAGCCTGGGATTTCTGTAGCTGCCATGAGGACAAAGCATCCTCACTGTTATGGGCTGTCAGTGCTGAGCTCAGGAGCACAGCTTTGTCAGCTGTGGGGTCTGTGTGAACAGTTGTCATCACCCTCCAGAGGCTGGCATCACTGTCTGGAAGCTCATGCTTCTGTTGTGCTCCCTCAGAGAAACAGATGAGCCCTCTTCTGTAAAAAGGATGTAATTTCCAGATAAAGTTTGTAAAAGCCTTGAAGAATAATATCCCCAGTGGTGGGGGTGGGGGGGAGAGATGAGAAATGGGAGAGCTGTGCTTGCTCTGAACTCTCTACAAAGAGCGACTTTATCAGATGAAGTAAGTGTTGCTGTGTAAGAGCACTGGTGCTGCTGGTAAACTGTGAGCATTTAGATCCTAAAACCTGCTGAGGTCTTAAACCATGCTTTAAGAGCACTCACTGGTTTCAGGGGCTGCAGGGAAATACTTTTGACCCCAACCTTACAAATGTGACAAGGATGGCCTGGAGGAGTGAGCCTGTCCTCCTCAGCTCTGTGAAGGGCACATGAATCTTGATGGCATCAGAACAACCCTGGCAGCCTGGGTAAAAGCTTAGGGAGAGTCTCAGAATGCACACAACCTGAGAATGGTCTGTCTCAGTCCCCAGAAGGTCACCATAGGGAAGGTGTTGTGACACAGTTCAGTCATAGTTGAATGGACTTCAAAGTCCAGCAGCCTCATGTGGTTCCACAACCACTTG